ACGTTTTTTTCTCTCGCTCGTTTTCGCTCGTCCCCAGCTACCGAGAGCCTGGAACAGGCTAATCACCAAGTGTCTAGGTCACTCCATTAGACCAAGTAAGAGGACCTTGGGAACGAGGTTGGTTGATACGTACAAAATGTTCAACAAATAAAACCTTTTAAAAAATATTGTTTCAAGGATCGACAATTAAACTTGGAGCGCCGGGCGAGTTTAAAGCAAAGGTATGGCAGTGCTCAAAACTTTTGGGTCAATTTTTATGCTGCGAAATTCTCTTTATGTTTGATATAGCTAAGATTTTATAATTGCTTAGTTCGGGGACTACAATTCGAGTTGTAATTCGTTGGCACACTTGAGCGACATATTGAGTTAATGTTAGCTTTAGCCGTCATGTATACCTCGTGTCCATTCGATCGTTATATATTGCGGCGGTATTTCTCGTCGCGCGAGCAACCAACGATTAATGGCACTTGAGGGAGGGCATGGGGTTTGGGTGTGTAAGGGGGAGTGGGTGGGGCGTGGATGTGTGAGGGGTAGGGGCGGGAGGTGGGTGTGTGACGGGGAGGGTGGGATGTCAACAGTTGTGATAGAGCTATTTAAGAGGAGAGGTTAACCTTGACCTATTCACGTAAATTGAATATGATTTAAAACTATTTTACTTGCAAATCCTGAAGTACGAGCATTGATCGCAAGCTTTATACAAAGAAAGCTGGGCCTGGAAGAGTAAATACTCTGCTTTAATTTCTTGCCACGAGTTAAGGTATAAAATGGACGTGTCGAAAAGGAATTAGCCAAATTTGTATAAAACGCTTTGTTGAAGGAGCTATTATGCACAAACGGATTTGTTGCCGGAGAGCTTGTCTGGGCTACCAGCTGCCAACACAAATATTTAAAGATTATGTGCTTGAGGTTAAGAATACAGTTCATAGTTATATTGTCACTGAATGTTTTAAAACCCACGGAATGACCTCATGAATGGGGGTTCGTCTAACTAAGGTCTGAATCTCAATTATCAGTTAGATTTTAATTCCGGTGATTTCTCAGTTATTGCTGGTTTTCAGTGTCACGCAATTCGAAAAAGATCAAAATAAAAAAACAAAACCGGTCAATAGACA